CTTGCTGCATACGCGGCGTTATCCAATCGAGGGCTAGATTGTCCCAAGCGCGGCCGCATCGCGGGATTGCCTCACGCTGCAGGAACGTTTGTACATGTCTTCGAGACGGTCTTTGACTTGGACGTGGAGAATGATTTGTTTTCTCTAGAGCGGTATTCTCAGTGAAGCAAATGATAAGCTTGGTAGTTGTACTAAGCAGGCTCAGGGCGACGCCCTCCTCCGGGGATACATACAGCTGTGGTCCGAGTACAGATTGCGCTTTATTGCCAGTTGGACAGGAATGTACACAGACCCCACTGCGTGGCCACTACACGAGAACACGATGCTCGAGGGAGCTAAGGCTGATGCAACAAGAGTCGCCCTTTTGATGAACCCTGTCAAAGGATCGAGAATAGAACGCTGGTCTTGTGCTGAGAGGTTGAAACCTCTGGGCGCTCGACCGGATCGGTCAAGGACGGTATTTGCTCTGACACACTGATGTTGGCAGTCCCGACTGCCGCTGTGGTGGTGGTCAGCAAGTAAGAGGTAGAGACAGGCGCGGGCCTTTCTCCACGATCCGCTCCCACATCGCGCCGGCTGCACTGCACGTTTATTTACACCTGTGCATATCTGCTAGCCACGGTAGTCCACGCGACGAGGGTGTGACTGCGCCTTGGTGAGGAGATGGTGCGCACAGCTCCTTGAACATAGACTTACACACGGTAATACGGTGCGGGTCGCTTGAGCTTCTGGTCCTACCTTTCGCCTCTGGTGTGATTCACATACTAGCAACTGTACTACCGCACTGTAATAGAGTTCCTGGCATGGCCATTCCAATCTTGGCGAGGATCAACTGACGATGCGATATGCTCCGACAGCCCTCATCTGATGCCGTCAGTAGTGGTACAGGTGTGCGGGAATGTTGTTCCCGACCAGACTTGAGACCACATGTTGCAAGATAACATGGGAGGATTGGCCGTCAGAGCATCAATGTACGCTCCGCCGCTAGCAGGGGGGATCAGATGGATGCGAACAGTTGGTTTGGCGCCTGAGGCGATAACATGGGCAGGACAGGTGCCAACTGTCAAGTGGCTGGCCTGCTTTGAGTCCCAGAGTCGAGGCTGTCACCGTTCGCATGGTTGTGGCAGGGATGGAGGCGGATTCTCCCGTGCGCTGTGCTGCGAATCCCGTGACGCAGTGACATGGCAGGGCGTTTCTCGCTTTGAGGATTGCGGCGAGGGAGGCGTCCGGCCGTATTGCTGTTTCAGCTGGCCGAAAGGAATGCCCTTGTGATACTGCACTAGGTTACTGCCAGGGTACTGGGTCAAGAGATTCCGACAGCGAGACACGGTGATGAATATTGAGTTGCACTCATAGCGCGGTAGTGCGGGTGGCTGTTGAGGGCGCAGTGAGAAAGCGTGACCTCGGCTTGGCAGGGCTGCTTGGGGCTAGCGTCGCCAGCGCATCTACTCACCGCAACTAGTGGGCATCCTATCAAACTCTGCGGCGTCCACATCCAACGTCAAGCCTGTGTCACGGTCGGCACGTTTGTCCATCGATGGCAGTGTGGAGGGCTTCCAGCATCTATGGTCGACGCTGCGGACATGACATGGCTGTCGCACACAGTCGAGTCTCCACGTCGCACCTGCTTCACATGCTCGCTTCATGTCTTGCGTGTCCAGGCCATCGAGTGGATAAGCCCATGGCAATGATAGACGCTGGTCTCAGTCCATACCGTCGACTACAGAGCCAATCAGATCGGGTCTGACCAATACCAGACCAAACAGCCAGCTGGCTTGCACGGCCTACCGTCCGTCTATCCCGCTCGCTCTCGGGCCTCATCCCTGCAACAGTTGGATGGGGCGCCCATTTAGCCTGAGCAGGGAATTCGCACGGCATCAGGGTGTCCAGGGACATTCGGGGAGCTGGATCTCATCTACGTCCTGCCCAAAGCATCCATTGCCGCTGTGAAAGAGGAAAGGATGACGATGATGGTCAGCCCATGGGCGTGCCGCGGCAGTTGAGCCCGTTTCAGAGCGAGCGTGGCTGGCCGGCAGTGCTGCAGTGTCTCTCTCTGCTTTTTCGTCTCAGTGAGCACTACCAAGCGTCCCGCTCTGACTCGCAGCAGTGCAAATCATCGCGCCAGCCGGGCCACTCAGCAGCTCCAGCCGACTGTGCGTGATATGGACCCAGACGTTTGACCTGGGGCTTTCCGATCGCTTGTTGGGATGCGTTTCTGGGCTATGCTCCGCATCAACGCGGTCCGGCGCAGCTTAGTCAAAGGCTGCAGCCCTTGCGCGACTGCTCCCTATCACTCGACGACTGACTAGGTGTATTCGCACTGCGCGTCAAATATCTCCGGCTACTCTCAATGGCCCCATGTATTCAGCCGTGTTATCCCCATCGGGAGCCCATCCGATGCCTCAGGAAGCGGCACACTGGTGAAAAAAAGTAGGCGCCCGCTAAACATGGAGCCCACTATCCTTGCCCGCCATGTCATCGCCAGTGTTTAGGAAGCTGGCAGGAGTCTGGAGGCACGAACAGGAATAGCAGCAGTCTGACGGTCCCTGAGACGTGCTCATGGCAGCAGGCGTGCGAGAGGATGCGTCTGCTGTCGTGTTTCTTTGGGCCAGGGTGGTGGCTGGCACGAGAGTGCTATGCTCGCTTGCGTGCATAGTGGTCGTCGCGGTATAGCCTCGCAGCCCTGTCCCTGTCATCTCGTTCTCCATCCAGCGCCCTTGTCAACCGCACCGTCGGCGGATCAGCCCAGTCAGCATGCTCCAAGGTGGAGTCTGTGCGTCGAGAGCGAAACGGCCTGCCTTTCACGGGATTGTTGCTCGCGGGTCCAGGCTGGGTGCGCAAGCCGGGCCACCCCCATGCCATCGTGTCCTCTGCGACTCTCACCAAGCCCGATGTGAATTTAGATTGTGTGCTCGCGGCGGCTCGTGTGTGTGCAGCGCTGAGTCCCCAGAAGATCTCCACCACCCGTGCCTAGGTACAGTAAAGAGCCTGCACCTTGGGCGCACCGTCTCTGGCTTCACGCGCTGCTGCGGCTTCATCTCGACTGCATCGCCTGTCTCATTGAGCCGCTCCTGCAAACTCGCGCCGGCCCGTTCACGCAGCTACAGCGTTTCTCTACGGAACAACTTGCCAGCGACGCCCATCGCGCACTGACAGTGTAGAAGCATTGGACACGCCGCCTGCAAAAGAAGCGGCCACCTCGAACAGACTACCTGGCGGGGCGTGCGCTGCTCGCCTGTCTCGGTCAGCCCTCTTAGCTGCGGCCTGCCTGCTGTCGAGCGCTGCAGAGAATCCTGCAGCATCGCCGTCAAGAACGACTTCCTTCTCCACACGCAAGCAACCGTCCAGCGTCGTTGTTGTCCGCACTCTTCGCGTTCGTTCGTTGAAGAATTTGGTAAGTCAAAGGGTCTACCCACTCTCTTCTGTTCTGCCACGCTCGAATGCTGCCCGCCGGACACGCCGCCTGCGTTGCTCTCGCCTATCTGTCGCGCGTTGTCTGGTTGGTCCAGCACTAGCAAGAGGTCCCATCCCAACCACCTCCGCCTCTAAACCCTCCGCCTCCCCACCGCAGTCTGCGAAGAAGCCTCTCTGTTGGCTTTCCCTGTTTACATCCCATATACGGCCGCTTGTTGATTGTCTTGCACTCACTTCTTCCTCTTTTGTGTCCCACGTGCGAGTACTGACGCGTGCTGCGCGTAGTGTTTTCTTGCAGGTGCAGCGGTTATCAGTATCGATACAGCTCGGCCCGCATTAACGAAGCGCGACGACGTTACGACCCTTCACGACAACAACACTGCCCACGCCCACGTCCACCCTGCAGCACATGTTTCGAGCCCGTTCAGCCATCTTCAGCTATTCTTCCAGACCGGCATTCGTCAATTCGTCCCTTTGCGTGTTTTGCACCTGAGCGTCAAAAGCGTTGTCGACTACCAGCTCTTCCTGCTTCACGACTGCAACGACGTAACGATTAGCTTTTTGACACTTTAGCATTGTTTGCAGCGTTCGAATTTAGCCTGCAGCTTCACTCGCGCCTTGAGCTTTGCGTCGCGTCTATCTATCGACAAGTCATCCTGGTCAGTTCCTCCATTCACGATTACCACCACTGCACTCCCACCCCAATCAATCTGGTCCACCACCCTTCACTCGACTCTCCTCATTGTACTCTCAAACCTGCCTCTCCAGTTGGATTTGTTTGCACACGTGTCTGGCCGCGTCTCGTTGGCTGCCGCTGCAGTCGACCGATTTCGTTTTGAGGAAGCAAACAACTAACTTGCGGTGAAGATCATTCGTCCTGTCAACCTTTTGCGGCAAGCTATAACATCAGCGAGCTATCGTCTGTCGGATACGTGCGCAGATACTGCAATCTAGTTTCGTGAGCGTCGACTGATTGCTCCGCCACAACAATACGCTCGGCTATCGTGAGGACTGACTCGAGCATCCTCGCGAAAAGCTTCTCGAAGAGCGACACAGAGACTTCTACGCGAAAACACGTCAATACCGTAAAGCTGGAGCTCCCGTCGATCTCGTCGGTCCACGCCCGCGGCCCCGTCGATACCTGGTACCAATCCCACTACCAGTCCAAGCCTGCAGTATCCAACGAGCGTCTGCCAGCCCTTCCCCAGATACAATCGCATCCTAGCGCCTCGTCAAACTCCTCTTCCCCTCGAGGCGACTCCATTAGCTCTGGTTCAGTGGTCGGTGGAAGCGCAGGTTCCCATACATCTTACGCCGCATCGATCAACGGTCAGGCCACTGGGTTCAAGACGCCCTCCCCCGAACACACCCCACAGTCTATCCGTCGCGACTCCCACGTGAACGCGCAGTCACCATTCGGCACCCAAGACGGATACGGCTTTGCTACGGGCGGCTACAACAGCATGAACCAGATGCAATCGTATGCTGACGTGCATCAACCCCACATGGCTACCGCTACCCACGCCCCGGCGTCAGCTCCCCCTTCGGGCTTGTCGCATTACTCGTACCCCCCGCAACAGTCCTCGATGATGCAGCCTCAACACCAGTACAGCCAAGGTCCGCCCGGATATCCATATGGCTACCCCACTGGTGTCCCTTCGCAGATGCCTGCTTCTTCTGGTTCAATGAATCCGGCTATGGTGCCTTCAACGCTCCAACTTCCAGGTAAGCTTGATGCCATGTCCTCAAAGATAAGACTGACTCTTCTAGCTATGTCGTCCGGAGCCCCCGCATCATCACTACCAGGTTCGCAGAGCTATCAATCTCAGACCTTCGACCACACTGGCCAGGTCGCTCCCCCAGGAATGAAGCCCCGTGTGACCGCAACATTGTGGGAAGACGAAGGCAGTCTTTGTTTCCAGGTTGAAGCCAAGGGCGTTTGTGTTGCTCGCCGTGAAGGTATGTCCAGTCTTCAATCATACGACGGAATACTGAGCTGACTCATTATAGACAATCACATGATCAACGGCACCAAGCTTCTCAACGTCGCGGGAATGACCCGGGGTCGTCGTGACGGCATACTGAAAAGCGAGAAGACGCGCCATGTTGTCAAGATTGGCCCAATGCATCTCAAGGGTGTTTGGTAAGTGTCACCACTTCGCATGTGACTTTCATACACTAACTTGAGACAGGATTCCTTTCGAGCGAGCTCTCGAGTTTGCCAACAAGGAGAAGATCACCGAGCAGCTGTATCCTCTGTTTGTCCACGACATTGGAGCACTGCTTTATCATCCCTCGAACCAGACGAGGGCAAGTGTAGGAAGCGCTGCCATGGCTGCTGTTGGGAACCGGAGACCTGACCATACGCAGACACATCAGCGATACCTGTCCGGACCGGCAGCGTCGCAACCTCCGTCGCTCCATCATCACCACTCGATGAGCAACCCGATTGGTGCTGCCATGTCTCAGCCACCGCATGCTATCCAGCCGCACCCTTCGTCAGGTCGCCCAGGCATCGACCGGGCTCACACTTTCCCTACTCCTCCCACAAGCGCCTCAAGCATCATGGGTATGGGCAACCAAGGTAGCTCATACGAGTGGAACGGCGCCAACGTCCAGAACTCCCAAGGAGGTCAGCCGCTGTCTATCGACACTGGACTGAGCAACACGCGCTCTGTACCAACCACCCCCGCCAGCACTCCACCCGGCGCTGTGCAGCAGGGTATGTCCTACGCTTCTGGTCAGAGTTTTGATGGCTCCAGGCCCTTGTACTCAGGACCACCATCTCAGCCAGGCCAATACGCACAGGGCCAGCCCATGATGGGATACCGTCAAGACGGCTCCTACGCAAAGACCGAGATGGCACCACCATCGCGCATCAGCGATGTGCCGGATGAAGGCGACGTGAAGCCAGCCGATGGCATGATGCCGCAGGGTAGCGAGCAGGTGGCTCCTCCCCAAGCTGGAAGCGAGGGCGATCATGAAAATGAGTACACCCACGCCAGCGCTCCTTACAGCGGAAACAGAGGCCCATACGGATACGCCTCCAACGGTGCACCTGGCGCCATGCACCCCGACCACGCCCACCTGTCTCCTGAGATGACGGGATCGCCCCACCAAAACGGGTCCGGACGAGCCACGCCTCGATCGGCAGCTACCGGCCAACCTCAATGGAACTCGGGCTACTCCACGCCGCAACGCCAGGGACCCCCTTCCAGCAACCTTTACAGTGTCATGAGCGATCCCCGAGGTGCCCCTAACGGTAACGCAGCTCACGACGCCTACCAGGGTCCCGGCGCTGTCTCGCAGTACTCCAGCCAGGGATACCCTCCCTCCAACGGAGTGAACAACTCCGGTAAGCGCGGTCGCGACGACGAGGAGCAGGACCCATACCGCCCTGATAGCGTTCAAGGCGACGATATGGGTGGCCTCAAGAGACGCAAGACTATGGAGGGCGGTGCAGTTGGTGGAAACTACGCCGACCCCAACCCTGGCATCCAGCGCGCGCATACCATGACGGCCCAGGCTCAGCGTACCAGGCGGTAATCGGACTCATTCGCGCAAGCATTCGGGTGGTCAGCTGCCTGTTCTCACATTAGAAGGCGGTTTGGCCTCTATCTACAGCGATTTCGCGGCATTGAGCGAGCGGTCTTTTCAGCAGCAACACAACATGGTACCTCGACATTCACCAGCAGACTCACGGACCGAAACGCAACGACTCGGGGCGACCCAGACGCCCATCTTGTCGCTCTCTCGTATTTCCTAGTGTTTATATTTCCTTTGGTTATGTCTCTTGTCTACATTTTAACACGTTTCGGCATTCACGACTTTAACGACCATTTGCTTCTCGGAACTAGTGTTCCACGACACCATATCCTGGGCTTTCAGTCTCATGATATACGACTTCTGCATGCGGCACGAGCACGTGCAAGTCTTGTACATTCTACAACCACGTCTTTTACTTTTCTGGAGCTGGAAAGAGTCTGGAAGCTTTTCGGAGTCGGTCGTGCTGCCACCTCAGTAATCCTCTCGCTCGACATACGCCAACACACCCACCGTTAATACCGGACACATGTGGCAGTGGGACCGACGACGTGAGCGACACAACTCCAGTACTCTTTTCTGCTTGGGAAACAACGGCGCGTCATGTTTGACGAAAATGCAGGCGTACACGACGGGATGTTCACGCAATGATGACATTGATTTGGCGGGCATGTCTAGAGTCGACATGTCGCCCTGTTGTTTTTTAGTAGGTGGTGCGTTCGGGCTGAATAGCATACGGACAGCCGTCAAGCCACTTTGAGCGATTTAGGAGACGGCATGGTTTAGTGTCTTATTTTCGTTGGACGAGCCGGCGACATGGACCTTATGATGTTAATGAGGGAATCAAAAGCTCTTTTTCCACTGATGTTATGCGTCCGCGATTGACTGTGATGTGCTGTGATGCGTTGTATGTATGCGGCTTTTTCATAAGTAGAGACTAAGGCTGGCTCTAGCGACGGGTGAGGTGGCAATGGACACCGCTTCACACACTAGGGACCCATGGAAGTATTGGGCATTGACGACGGGCGGGTGTTGGAGAGAGATGAAGCGGCGAAAAGATTCAAAGGCATTGCGCGTCCAGGGGTACGAGAGAGTCGTGTGTGCCACCTGCGATGTGGTCGGGTTGGGTACAGGTGAAGGGATAGCAGCCTAATGCAGGGAGCGCGGTGACGTGCGTACGTAATCCGGGATCAAGTTGCGACCTGCCCCTCGAGGCGTCCGTCTTGGCAGTCGCCCCACGTCGTCATCGGGTAAGCAAAACAGAGGCTCAAAGTCGACGAACGCGCATCCAGAACGAGGCGGAGCCAGGCAGTCACGTTGCCGCCCAGTATATCCTTCCCGCTGTGCTAGACTCCTGTCCACCTGCACCGCCAACATGAACATCATCAAGCTGCAAAAGTACGTGGGCGCGCCGCCCTTCTTACAGTATCCGCTGGCTTCCACGGTAGCTAACAGGCCATTGCGCACAGGAAATACCCCCAGTTCGAGCAGGGCGAGATCTTTGGCCTGCAGGATGCCTTCCGCAAGCTCGACGTCGACGACAAGGGCTACCTCGACGAGAGCACCGTCATCAAGGGTGCCCAGCAGTCGGAGCATCAGCCCTACGACGTGGTGCGACAGGCCCTGAAAGAGGTGGAACTCGACAGCTCGCGGAGGGTAGAGCTCGACGACTATGTAGATGTACGCATTGCAGCATACCACGTACCACGTGCAAGCTAACCACAACAGCTCATCTCCAAACTGCGCGTCTCGTCGCCTGCCCAGCAGCGCATGTCGACCGGCCCAACCCGCCCGCGAGCCGGCACAGCTTCCAGCGTCAACTCGCCCTCGAACCCAGGTCACGCCTCCAAAGGCAGCGTCGGTGGTGGCAGGATCCAGGTCCAGGGCTCTTCAGCAAACGTCACCCATACCATCAACGAAGATGAGCGCACCGAGTTCACGCGCCATATCAACGCCGTCCTCGCCGGCGACCCAGATATCGGCGACCGCCTGCCCTTCCCGACTGATACGTTTGAGATGTTCGACGCCTGCAAGGACGGATTGGTCCTGTCCAAGCTCATCAACGACAGCGTGCCGGACACCATCGATGAACGTGTGCTGAACAAGCCGGGCAAGAAGATCAAGTCGCTCAACAACTTCCACTTCACCGAGAACAACAACATCGTCATTGAGTCGGCCAAGGGTATCGGGTGCTCCGTCGTCAACATTGGCAGCGGAGACATCATCGAAGTACGCGAGCACTTGATTCTGGGTCTGATCTGGCAGGTCATCCGGAGAGGTCTGCTAGGTAAGATTGACATCAAGCTACACCCTGAATTGTACAGGTTGCTGGAGGACGACGAGACACTGGAGCAGTTCCTGCGTCTGCCCCCGGAGCAGATCTTGCTGAGATGGTTCAACTACCACTTGAAGAACGCCAAGTGGCACAGAACGTATGTACAAGCTCAATCATACTCATCACATAGCTAACCTTCTTAGCGTCTCCAACTTCTCTACCGACGTCAAGGATGGCGAGAACTACACCGTCCTCCTCAGCCAGCTCGCCCCCGAAACCTGCTCTCGCGCGCCGCTCCAACAGACCGACCTCCTCCAGCGCGCTGAGATGGTCCTGCAGAACGCCGACGCCCTCGACTGCCGCAAGTTCCTCACACCCACATCGCTCGTAGCTGGAAACCCGAAGCTCAACCTGGCTTTCGTCGCCAACCTGTTCAACACACATCCCTGCCTCGACCCCATCACCGAGGAGGAGAAGGCCGAGATTGACGACTTCGATGCGGCAGGAGAGCGAGAGGCCCGTGTCTTCACTCTGTGGCTCAACTCTCTCGATGTCAAGCCCGTCGTACAATCGTTCTACGAGGATCTCAAGGACGGCACAGTTATCCTACAAGCATACGACAAGGTCATTCCAGGCAGCGTAAACTGGCGACACGTAAACAAGCCGCGCGAAGGCCAGGAACTGATGCGCTTCAAGGCCCTCGAGAACACCAACTACGCCGTCGAGCTCGGCAAGCAGGTCCAATTCTCGCTACCAGGTATCCAAGGTGCCGACATCACCGACGGCCAGCGCACACTCACCCTCGGTCTCGTATGGCAGCTGATGCGCAAGGACATTGTCTCGACCCTCAACGGTCTTGCCCAACAGCTCGGCAAGCGCGAAATCTCCGACGCAGACATGATCAAGTGGGCCAACGACATGGCACGCAAGGGCGGCAAGAGCACCCAGGTCCGCTCCTTCAAGGACTCTTCCCTCGCCAACGCCGTCTTCCTACTCGACGTCCTCGCCGGCATGAAGCCCGCTTACGTCGACTACGACCTCGTCGCCCAGGGCCGCAACGACGACGAATGCTACCAGAACGCCAAGCTGGCTATCAGTATTGCGCGAAAGATGGGCGCTACCATCTGGCTTGTACCTGATGATATCGTTGCCGTGCAGAGCAGGCTTATCACTACTTTCATTGGTAGCTTGATGAGCACGCATGAGAAGATGGGTGGACAGTAAGCGCAGTTTTTTGAGATCGTCTTGACTGAATGTAAGCCTTTTGAGGCGGATGGGTAAACGATGGAACGAACGCCCTATGGGTGAAGCGTGCGAGCGTTTTTAGTTTTGTCTTTTGGAAAATAAGTTCTTCGCAAGGAATGAGAAAATATCATCGTTGTTCACTGTCATCCTTCTTTGAGTTCAGCTTTTTGATCGGAGACATTATTCCAGATCTATTCCTTTTGAGGTAGACATGCGCGGTTGGACGGACATGGATCAACAGTGTCGATAATTTGTTCACATCTACCAAGCCTGGGAAGAAGGCCGAAGCACACACATAACGATACCTGTTGTGAGTTTTAGAAGATTTTGCTTGCAGGTTGCGTTTTCGGTCGTTCTTCTCCATATGGGCATTCTGAGAGAGTTTTTTATGGCATCAGTTTCATGATCTAGAATGCAACATGACTCCGACAGTCTTTACTTTGATTCTTCTTCTGCGAGTTTTCGCAGAGACGGAGGAAACATAAAAACGAACTGGTGTTGCTTTCTGTCTCAACCTGAAGTAACGCCTGGCAGCGTTCCAACGCACTTTTTCCATGTAACTTTGAACTCTTCATTTTGAAGGATACGATCTGATTCAAGTCGACGGAAGAATGGAGAAAGAGTCCAGCGACACAAAGGCATACGTTGTGAGAGTGTCTTTTTCGGAAGGCAGAGGAGAGCCATCGCGCTCTTTTCCAGATTTTTGTGGTTGGTTCTGAGTTGGGGGATGGCGGAAGAGAGCAACATGCGGTTTTGGTGGCGCGTATTTTCGGAGGAAGCGGACACATGTCTCGTAATCCTCTATGTTTTGGTCCAGAGAAAGGTGTATGTGGAGAGCGTTTTGAAGCAAAGAGCATGTGATTAAATGAATGTCGTTTTGAGAGAAAGCAGACACATGTCCAGTCTGGAGCTGAATTTTTTGTCCGGGGATGGCTGGACGTGGAGATTGAATGAAAGGTCTGACGTCGAGAGAAGATGGGCTTTCGTACGCACCGGCGGCGGAGAAGTGTTTGTGGTATCGGTGCTGGGGAACAACATAGGTACGTGTACGGGTAGTTTTTGAAGTAGCTGCAATGCTTTGGCGGAAGCCGACATGGAACTTTTTCCTGGTGTTTTTGTTGTTGTGCACAGAGCCGAGGCGGATGCCATGAGTCCAGTCGAACGTGTTTTTGGAAGACAGGTAGGCTGGATATAATCGAAGGCCTGAACTCAGAGAAGGGAGGAAGCAGACATAGCTCCTTCCCAAGTGCCTTTCTTTCCGAACGACGAACACCAACATGAAAAAGTTTCGAATATCTTTGAACCGCGCTTCAGACTTAGGTGTCATTGGAAGGTTTCGGACATCATTTCCTCCGAAAGTGTTTTTTGGTAATATCCTCTTGCTGTGCTGAGGTCCGAAGGCGGAGAACAGATCATCCATGAATGCGTTCGATACTTTGAGAAGAGAAGGCCATCAGATATGTCTTCCAGCTTTAGGAAAGCC